CTTAAAAAAAAACTAGATTCTTATCTCAAGAGTTAGCATCACAAGCCTGATCATAATTTCGAACTTAGAAGAAGACCTTATAGAAGAACAGATTGTGGCTTTGTTCTTGTTCTTGTTCTTGATCAGCCTATCCTGTGTCTGTTCTCTCTGCCTTCTCTTATGCTTCTTCCTCTTCGATATTCGATCTCTGCATCAGAGCTTGAGAAACCAGTCGGATAGCTTCTGCTTCCTTTCACTGAGCCTACTCTGGATAACAAAGCCTCTTCATCAGCGTGGATACGGTTTCTTGGTTTGTGATCTGCGCCAAACAGTAAGATACAATTAGCACGCATTTAAGAAGCAACTCTTGATTGTGATTTGAGATTAATGAGACAATACTCACCTTTGTAACCATTTGATGATGACTTTGGTGAATGGAAGTCTACAACTTGTGAATCAAGATCAGGTTCTGATATCGAGCTCTTTTGACTCAGCAAATTCGCTTCTCTTCTTAGCAGCTTTTGTCCATCGCTTGGAGAGTACGCCGAGGTGTTATAAGAATCATCCATCACGTCAGTGATCTCTACATACTGACTAGTTGTGATGATTTCATCTGCACTAAACCCAAAGGAAGCCCTGTAAGCTTCTAACTCTTCCATGTCTTGCTTTGGACTTCTCGTTTGCCTATTCTGGTTCCCGTTTCCATATCCATTTGATGGATACACATCTGAATCCTTGGACACGCTTAATCTTCCACCGTTCTGAGGAACCGAAGGGTCGTGATCCAGATAAAACTTGGCAAAAGTTGCAGGACAGAAGAAGTTTGACTCCTGCAAAGGTGTCGAGACTCCATTTGTATCGTAGCCAAATGTGTTTCCAGAATCACTCCTTGAGCATTTACCGTTCTGAGGAGACAATAACCCGTCTCCTGAAGTCCGAGAGATTGGTGATCTAAGCGTGCTGGCTGGACTTCCAGGATAAAGAGAATAAGTAGACTGAAGGTCGTTTGGAACATTGTAATGACCTTTACCAGAGTTCTTGAGATCCATGGAGGAAGTCAAGAACCGAGCATAAGGCACATCGGGTGAAGAAGGAGTAGTCAGATGCGCAAGCTCTGGAGGAGGAGTGAAAGGAGCAGTAGACGGCTCAGTAGTGAAAGTAGAGAAAACAGGCGGTGACACCAACTGAGTCTCATGTGCATACGGTCCAGTAGCATACATACTCGATGAAGGACCTCCGGGCGAGTTTGCAGACAGAGACAAGTAGCAGTTAGGCGACTGCGCGGTTGAAGGAAGAGCAGAATTGGTGAAGGAAGCAGGAGATGACGGTGGAGCCAAAAGAGACAAGTTAACTCCTCCTGTAGCTTGGTTAGTTAAGACACCAGCTTGATGAGCTCCATTAGGCTGTGAAGCTGAGACATTGCCACCTTCGGGAACCCGAGAAGCGGGTACAATCCGTTTTCCACCTTTCTGTGACTTAAAACAAGAGAACACTCCTAAGCAACCTCCCCACCTTTTCCTCTGTAAAGGGATGGATACACACATAAATCAGCTTAAAGGAACCAAACCAACACACGGATCTAAACCCTAGAAGCTCGGAATTCATCAAATTGAATGGTTAATTCCTCTAAAAATGTAAACTTTTTGTCATTTCCAATTATCAGTTTCTGCAAAAACGATCTGAGTAACAGTAGAATGATCAAAGGGGGAAACTTCAACAACATAAACCCTAACGAACATTACTACTCTGCATCAAGTGAACAAAACACAAAAAGTAGATAAGTGTGAACAGAGTCGAATAGTCAGATCTAAGAAGCCA